GAATGCTGCTTGCTGTTCTCGTTTTCTTCCCATCAGGGAGTGAGAGGAAAGCACATAGCGTGTGTGCATGCATTTCTCTCCCGTCAAGCTGGATAGCGAGTGACGCAAGCTGGGTGCACTCTCGCTCCCTCACAGTGATGAACAGGAGCAGCAGGCAGAATCCTGTTACAAATCTTCAGCCTCCCTAACTAGTGCCCTTGTCCTCCTTAGCCCTCCTACACACACATACCCCACCCCCTCCGGCCATGAGCCCTTCCTCACACTTCCCAATCCTGACTCCTGCTCCACACCCCCACATACACACCCCAACCCAGCTGTCTGAGCTCCCTGCACTCCCCCACTCTTACATTTCTTACAGGCATCTTCCCTGGTCCATTGTGAGTTAAGTGTTTCTTGATGGGCTATTTAACACAAATAGCTCCTCCAGGCTGTGCTGGCTCAATAGCTTGTTGGTGCTACCCATGAACAAACATTTTAAATAAAAATATTAACCCTATATGTGTAACTTCAAATACAAAAATGATAAATGCATGCAGATAGAATCATATTCAATAAATCACAACTTTTCCATATACACCTTACTAGACATGCTGTATTTAGGGATGTGAAAGTGAAACTGTATGTGATTAAGCGATGAACCTGGGCTCATCGGGTAACCTTCACAGTTACACGCAGGTTCCCGGTATGTGCAGGGTCTTGGCATGAGCAGCCACCTGCCTCTCCCTCCCCTGCCTACCGAGCTGCTGCCTCTCTATCACTGACTCCCCCGCATGTAACTGCATAACCGTTGAAATTTTCAGCAGTTACACGTTTATTTGATTAAATGCATTTTAACATCCTTCTTTATACAAGATTTGTTTTATTATATAATGAGCACTCATGCTGAAAGAGGATGGGCAAACTGCATTTTTTCTGAGGGTTTACAACTTGATCAAATTTAGGTGGATTTTTCACAGGGAAGGAAAAGACATGTCCCTGCCACAAAGGCTACTCCTTACTAAATTTCAAGTCAGTTCTCTAAACCATGATAACAACTGAGTTTCTGAATTGATTGCCAGTATTTTTTTAACACAGGGGAAAATGTTTTTCCTTAGCCACAGTCTTAAAAATTAATCCTTTTGGCAGAAATTTTCTAAAATGAGTCAGACAGACACAGCCAAGCTTCCCCACCCCAGAATCTGAAAGTTTCAGCAAAAAAGTCTAAATGTTGGCAAAGCTATAAACACCTGAAAACTGAGTTACTGACATGTTAGGCAACCTGAAAACTGACACGTTAGGTAACCTTAGTAATAAAGTTTATTATCCACCCCCCCCCCCATATTAAGCAGTCCATTGACTTCAGTGGGAATGCTCAGTGAATAAATTATAAGCTGTGTGGCTAAGACTGGAAGATTGTACTAAGTGTTAAGTGATTTGTTATATTAAAAATAAATGTTTTGACTGTATTAGAAAAGGATCTTTCAGTGCAAGCCCATTTTGGATTTAAAAGTCTCAGTAATAAACAAGTCAGTAACTTTTAACAGATAGAATCCTTGAAATAGCCACTGCAAAGGAAAATATTGATTAATATTTCACGCCTCATTTTACATATTTCTCAGCGGTGATTGCCAATCCTGGAAACCCAATTCAGAAATACACTGAGACCATTTTGATCACCTTTTCCTAATTAGTTTTAATTACAACCTCCTACATAAAACAGTCTTTAGTTGTATTAAAATATATATTTATCTGCAGGGCATATAATAGGGCATTGATATAGTCCTCTGATTTACAGAGATTGGACTTGCTTTACAGTTTTATATTCAACATCTATAACTGTTTAGAGATGGTCACCAATATGCTTTTCAAAACTGTACTGTAAATAAGTTTACCTGGCCAATTTTGATGTTTTTATTCTATCTGTGACCTTTTACAGCTACCTCCAGCTACACAAGGGCCTCTCAGTAAAAGATATGCGGAAGCTTATTTAAATGAATACTTGCAGAAGATGTATTGTTTACATAAATATAGCTTCACTCTTAAAAAGAGTGAGGAACTTAAACTTCTGGTGCATCTAAAAGTACATTTAAAATGCCACATTAGTCTAACTTGATAAAATAGGCGATATTCAGAGAAGAAAATGACCATGTGCCACGCCAAAACATACATAAAAGAAGGTAAGAAAGTACTTTTGACATTATTTTGGCGAAGCCAGAGTAATTATCCCCTCCTTCCTGCATTTCTCCCCATTTAACATTTCTATCACAGTGCTTTAAAAAAAAACTTGAGCCACAGTATCCCTGTTTCAAACATAAAAGCTATATAAATTCCAGATTAACGTGTTCATTTCTGTAGTACAATGTTCATTGAAAAATGAATGGAAATTAATACATTAGTTTCAAGCTTTTGCATCATAACATGTAAAAGGCTTTCACAGTACCACGACAATGTAGTAGTTTTCTCCTCTTATTCTTCAGCCCTAGTATTTTTATGGGGTGTGTGCACACTGTGCTGTAAATGGAATGGTATTGATATCAGTGTACAAAGTGTCCTCTAGTTAAATATTAGGTGAACATCTGCCTTTGTAAATAATCTATATTCTACTCTGAAGCTATACCGGTGTACAGTTGTGTTTGAGTGTGTGTAAAAAAAAGGGGGGAGGGGGGCGGCACGCTCAGGCATCAATGGTAGCACAAAAGGCCCAAACAGAAACAAAAGAGAGGATATTCCAGAAGAAAATCTGTTTCCTGTTACCTTCCAGTAGGGGGAACTAAAGATTCATCGTCCAATCTTCCTTTTGGCTCAGGGACCTGTCTGTGTTCCTGTAACCCACTGTCTAATCATCAGTGCAAACATCAAATAGCTACGAGCTAGTCTGTGATCACATGTGGTCTCAACCACACTGTTTACACTGAAGACGCTGGAAATATTCAAACCCTTTTGATCTAACTGTGTCTTTACCTGATCACCCTCTGTTCTGCTCCGGTAGATTTTCTAATGCAGGCTTCTGCCAATGGTTCTTTTCCCATTTTAATTTGTCTTTTATTTTTTCCCTGCTCCCTACTGATCGATGTGTTCTGTAGCCTTCCCCTCTCCCCACATTTTGGCTGAACTGCTAGTAGGCTTTCCTAACCGAACTATTTTGGGTTTGGTACCTTCTTGATCTTTAACCCTCCCGGATTAGATCAGCTAAACTTTCCCCTCGCCCCCACGTCAAACAGAGGTGGGGTTGAGAGCACCAGCGGGTTCTAGGCAAAGTGTTAGTCGTGTTTTATGAAATGAACAACTGTTCCACACATTACAAAAAAAGTGCGGGTCAGGCCCGGTTCATTGTGCAACCCGCAACCCTCTCTTCCTTTTCCATGCGAGAGAGGGGGAGCCAGGAAGACATATCTGCTGGGAACCAAGGGGTTCACTCCAGGGCCGTGTGTGTGTGTGTGAGAGAGAGAGAGCGAGACTATGACTCATTAGGGAATACTTCCAGGAAATCACTCACCGAGAAAATTACCTGCCCATTAAACAGGATGCAGTGAGGAGCAATCATGTAAATTCCCCCTGTACCCAACTGTAGCGGTGAAGGGCGGCGTTAGTTAAAGAAAGGGACCAACAGCTGCTCACTGTATTACCGCCCCCCAGCTCTCGAGGAGCGGGTGTGGATGGAGTACAGCGGGTTTGCCCCACACCCCACCGCCTCCTTTTCCCTGCCTGGGCGCCGCTCTCATTCCCTACCCCATCTCTGCCAGTGGCTGGGGCCCCTGTACCCAACTGTAGCGGTGAAGGGCGGCGTTAGTTAAAGAAAGGGACCAACAGCTGCTCACTGTATTACCGCCCCCCAGCTCTCGAGGAGCGGGTGTGGATGGAGTACAGCGGGTTTGCCCCACACCCCACCGCCTCCTTTTCCCTGCCTGGGCGCCGCTCTCATTCCCTACCCCATCTCTGCCAGTGGCTGGGGCCGGCCCCCCCGCTGTTAGCTCTTTATTTCTAGCTCGGGGTGGGGGCGGCGACATCCCCGCTGCAGACTGTTGCCCTGCCCGGAGGAAGTTAGGAGAGGAGCTCTGCAGATTGACCTGACCAGAGCCAGCCCAGCCAAAGCCAACCCCGCCCGCGTGTTTCCCTGCAACGTGCCGAGAAGTTTGTTGGGCACTTTCTAGGAATCAGGGCCAAAGTGTTTCTCTCTGGTCTTCCGAAGAAATCACTTGCCCGGTTCTTAAGGAGAGTGAGGGGCTGCGGGGATCCGAGGCAGAGGGAGGCCTCCCCCACAGCCAGGTACGGTCCCCGCCCACACTGTGCACCCAGCTCCCCCCCAGTGCTCCAGCCTCAAACCTGGGTCACTGCTCACTCAGCCACAGGCTCCGCTCTTGCAGGCATGCTGGGGAGGGGCGCCAGGGCGATTTTTAGAGCGGGGGTGATGAGCTCCGTGGACCCAAACCCAGTGATCAAGTCCATTTTTGGGAGGGGGGGTGCGGAAACAACCCCGCACCCACGAGTGTATGGCGGGGTCCCAGGAGTATCTTCTGTCTCCGCATGTATTGAGCCTCTTCCCCATCAGCGCAGCCTCGCTCCTCCCCATGCAGCTGCGGGCATCAAGTTGGTGAAGGGGTGTCAGGGGACGGGCACTGCACGGAGCCCCGGGGCGCGTGTGGCTGTGCTGCCCGGTGCTTGCGGAGGGAGGGGCGCTGCCTGGCTTCCAGGCGCTCGGGGTGGGGCGCTAGCCTGGGGCTAGCAGGCAGGATGGGCTGGGGGCGCGGGGCAGCAGCCACTGTGCAGGCTGTGGCGCGGGGGGGACGAACGGGG